ATATATATATATATATATATATATATATATATATATAATGTAATCTACGGTATACTGAATAGATACCTAAATAATAAGGTAATAAATTCAAATAAATTATATATAATAAATTTATATAAAATAAATTTATTATAAAATAAATTTAAATAAAAGTTAAAAAGAATAAATGAAATTTATTTTAGAAGACAGAGACAGTCGTGAGTCAAACCACAGTCATTGAAATAATTCGCATAAACTAAGCTTCTCATTCGTGTTTATGAAAGTTAATAAGTATAAATGAGTTAATAAGTATAGAATGATATAAGGAGGAAATCATTTTGTAATATTGTAATATACGTTATTAACTCTTATGTACTATACTTATTCTGGCAATGCACGTTGATGGCGATATCATATGCCAAAAAAATACAATCAATAAAATTTCATGCCAAATACCATTTAAATACAGCGATCATTTCCAATAAAACTTGTAAAAATAAAAAGAAGTATTTTTTTAGTAAATTTAATTCTTTTGCCAGTTTTACAAGCTTTTCTGTATAATTTATTTTGACATTAGAGCATATACGAATAGATATATAAGCATGCTAATATGAATATTATACTGTATCTAGCATTTGGTTTCTGATATATGATATTTTCCTCGTAAATAGATACTTTTTTTTTCATAAATAAATTACTGATAGACGATACAAGAAATATATTATGTATCTAATGTGCAAAAGAGTTAATTTAACTAGACTGATAATAAATCGTAAGGAATAACGATTAGAATGCGTTGTTGACATGTTTGGGTAAGTACCGTCTAATCGACGTCTCAACGTAGGAAAAACCAATCTGTTTATGTATGCGCATAATGATCGAGCAATTATGCGTGTCTGTCGCTATGAAATCAAATTATTTACGGTAGAAACAGAAGGGAAGAAAGGAGGGTGAGAGGACAGGCTACAAAGGAACAAATACGTGGTTGTAAGGATCATTACTACATATTTTTTTTTTTTTTTTTTTTTTTTTTTTTTTTTTTTTTTTTTTTTT